AAACGATATCATTTGGAAAGATAATTTAGCTGGGAAATCTGCAATGCTATTTTTATTCTATCACTGTCAGTTTCCCATTTCCTTGTTATATTTTCACCAAATCAATCACACATCTTTAGAAGCAAACCAAAATTCAAATATTATCCTTTATCAATGTGCCTGAAGCTATTTGATGACGTTGATATTAGATGCTGTGAAATTCTGTGCTTACATTGTTACATTGCTAATATTTTTAAGTTCTTTTCCATTTTTTGATTCGTTTTTATATTTTCCTGTATTTACCCAAATTTAGTTTCTCTCGATATTATCATTGTTTTATTTTCTTCCTTCATGAAAATGAAGAGGAATATTTTCGAAAAGGTAAGAATATTTTCCTTCTCAAATGAGGAAATTTGTTAATGTCTTTAGTCGTTAACCAAAGTAGATCTGCAAGAATATTCAAAATAACCGTATTTTTTATTTCCTTCCGTGTGTGGAAGACGACAATTACCATTTCTGCTACTATTATTTTTCGCGTTAAAATATTCAAACAAGCGTTCTTCTAGTTTTTCAATATTTTCTGAGTATTTCTGTCTTTGGTATTCTTTTTTCTTTTTTATGTGTCGTGTCCCTTCAGGACATAGGTGATCATGGCTCTCCACTTCTCCCTATCCATTGTAGTTCTCAATAAGTTTCGTCCCTCTGTCACCTCCGCCAAACCCCGTTCTGTCATCCACTTACTTAAGCTCGCCACGTATGTCATGCGTTACTTTCCCTTGTCTCTATTTCCCTCTATTCGACCTGTGAATATCAGATTCTCCAAGCCCTCCTTTCTCATTACGTCCCAGAAATTTCAGCTACCTCTTCCTGATGTTAAGTATAAGCTTCCTCCTTGTTTGCATCCTCTCCAAAACCTCATCGTTGCTCACACGATCGGTCCATGATATCCTTAGCATCCTTCTGTAGAACCATATATCCACTACCTCGAGTCTCTTTTTCATCTTTGAGGAAACCGTCCAACATTCGCTGCCGTAAACGAAGACAGATGTCACTCTTTTCTTTGCTACTAAAGAAATCTCCCTGTCTTGTAACACTCTACCTAGCTTTTGGAATGCGTTCTTGGCCATCCCAATATGTCTTCGGATCTCAGCGTCGCACTTATCGTCCTCTGTCAAAACACTTCCCAGATATTTAAACTTTTGCATTTCGGGCTCATCTTTTTACTGATGACAATGCATTCTGTTTTCTTGTAGTTTATGCTTAGTCCCTTCTTCTCGCACTCCTTCACTACCTTCTGTAGGAGGTTTTGTAATTTCTTTTCCGTGTCTGTTATCACTACTGTATCATCTGCGTGTCTTATGTTGTTAAGATTGTGGCCGCCAGTGCTGAATGTAAGATTCCCAATTCTCTCAGAATTGCCTCTCAGTATAGGTTGAATAGGTCGGGTGAGAAGACACATTCTTGCCTTACGCTCATTTCTATTTTTGTATATCTGCTGAACTCATTCTCTATGCGCATGAATGCCGTTTGCTGCCAGTATATGCTTTTGATTATTCTGATATCTTTCCCATATATATCAATGTTACTGAGCAGTTCCAACAGATCCTTGTGACGTTCTTTGTCGAACGGCTTTGTGTAGTCTATAGAACATAGGTACACGCCCTTCTGCATGTGTATTGCTCTTTCTCATAACGTTCTTAGCATGAATATTGCGTTCATTGTTCCAGTGTCATTAACGAACCAGCACTGTTCCTGTCCTATCTCTGGCCTGATTACTACGCGCTCTATTCATTAGAATACGGATGATCAGTTTTGTTACGTGACTCATTAGGTTGATAGTTCGGTGGAGTTCACATTCGTTTGCGCTTGGTTTTTTAGGTAGTTCTATGAAAATAGATCTTCTGAGATCTTCCGGTATATCCCCACTGTTGTAGATTTCATTTATTATTTCTGTGATCTTGTCTATACCAAAGTCATCTAAAGCTGTCAGAATTTTCGTTACAATTCCGTCTGACCCAGCCGCCTTTTTTTTGTTCAATTTGGCCAGTGCAACTTCTTCAATTTTTAGAATTTCACGTTGGTAGTCCTGTGTATTGCTAGTAGTTCTCTTTCGTTGTGGAAGATCTCCAATAGACTCGCTCCAGCGTTGAAGAATTTTTTCCATCTCTAATATGAGCATTCCATCCGTTGATTTTAAGCAGGCTGTTGACGAGCATTTCTTCTGTACTGTTTAAGCTACATATTTTCTAGTTTTAACTGAGATTTTAACGGATACCAATCAATCCAGGCACATTTATTACTCTTCCGTTTATAATAAATCTGAGTGGGGATTCTAATAATTAGGTGTGACTAAGAAATTACTTGCGAATTCTTTGTTTGGGTGGGGGTAAAATGAGTTGGTACTACTAGCGCCTTCCGTTTAAACATATAAATCCAAGGGGTCAGTATAAAGTATAAAAATGTTACAAGCGTCTTAATATGAGGTTAACGTCATTAGAGCTGTTATGACTTGAAGGCATATTTAAAATCAATGTGATTTCTTATCTGCCCAGACTCATTTGTGCTCTTTCAAAGCCCACAGATCCAAACTTTGGTCTATGCAGCAGTTACACTGCGACTATGTGGGTATAATTGGTAAAACATCGAAAAAAAGTTAAGTTGAACCCGCATAAGTTAATTTATATCAGTGTCTACATTTCTTAGTAAATTTAGGCTACTAAATTTGAAAGATTTATGGATGCAATATGAAGAATTCAGTTTTTTTAAGTAGATTTTTCTGTGATTTATTAATGTTTTTGATGACAATATTTCACTTCCAAAAGCTACATGATTTATTAAGAAATAGGAAAGTTTCCATAGAAACAAGGAAAAAAGTACTGAATTGCTTTGTAATATGAATATTTCTACATGACAGTGAATGGTGAACAGTTTGCTCACAGATGAAGAAGAGAGTTAAGGCAAGAGAGATATGATTTTACAGAAGGATGATGAGAACATGAACGCAACATATGAGCAAATAATTAAATATTTGGAACTAATAATGAAAAAGGAGGACTTGGAGAAACTGACACTTATAATGCATATTGGAGAGAAGAAGAGCAAAGAGAAAAAGCGAGTAATATAAATAACAAGCTTGTATGTAGCAAAACAGGATATGGGAGAGATAGAAAGAAAAATATTGCTTTGAGCTACAAAAGATTGGAAGTTGTTGAGAGCCATTATCATCCATGTCTCGAAGGAACATAGAATATAAAAGTAGGAGTTAAATAGGATTTATTTAGAAAATCAGTCAGATATACCTTTACTTATACTTAAACCTTCATAAATGTTTTCGCGAAAGCAGAGAAATGTTTATTTAGAAACAAATTTTCAAATCAGAGCGTTACGTTAGGAGTATTTGAAACTCAGTGTGTTAAATAATAGTTTAGCAGGCTATTTTTTAAAGGGGGAATGGTATCTCTGTTCATACTTCCCGAGGTTGACCTATGAGGTCAGATGGAAGACAAAATAAGGTAGTCGATTTTGATTGGCCAAAATTAGCGTGGGTAACGAGATGGATAGAAAAAGGTTTTTCAGTAAGTTGTTTCTTAACCGTCAAACAATATAGACATGCTTTCTTTCGTTTCTGAAACGGCTCCCCAGTAAAGGGTGAGCGACCCCACTGGATAGTTAGAAATGCACATGTCGACGTAATTAATACATAGTTAAGTTAAAATTATCCTTGTGTTTATGTATTTTATCTCTGGACTCAAAACAACTAGCGATCACCGGCTGCGAGAAAAGAATGCAAATTTATTATCGAAATGACACCGTCGCCTAATACTACCCCACCAACGAAGAGCCAAATCGCTTGAAATTGATCTATGAATTTGATCTATGAAATTTGATTTATGAAATTTGATCTATGAATTTGACCTATGAAATGTGACCTAAGAATTTGTTCTATGAAATTTAAGCTATGAATTTGTTTTAGGAATTTGATCTATGAATTTTATCTATGGATTTGATCTATGAAATTTGATCTATGGAATTGATCTATAAGCTTACTTCTCTAGGAAGAAGGGATCATTTTAATTATTACACATATTTACTAAGGGTGTTCTAGTTTTGGCGCAAGTAGTAATTATATCTGAGCCGCACTGACTTACTATCGCACAACGACAGGACATCATTTAATGTGGCACAGAATTTTTATACCACAGAATTTTTATACCACGAGAGGGAGAGTATTAATTGGGACATGCTTAAATGGAGACACTGGAAGAACGAAAGAAAAGATAGAAAAAAATCTCGTGAGGAAATTATTGTCGCCTGGTAGGAGGGATACTTGCGTGTCACTGCACATGAAAGTGGCAGCGATTTTGGACATGCAAAGCGTAAATTGCATAATCGAAAAATGAGAAGTAGAAATGGATCCTCTGAAAAGTGGCATGCAAATAGGGGAAAATCGCCAATTCATCTTTCCCGGCGTGAAGAAAATCCCAAGATAAGCGTTTTTATCTCTGCGCAAGGGACAAAAGATTTAGGATGCATGGAAAAAAATTTCAATACGAGGGGGTGCTGAAAAAATTATGGACCCAAGCCACTTTTCTAAATATTTTTAAATTTTTCTTTTGGTTGAACCAAGAAGTTTTTTTTTTAATTATTTTTTTTTTATCAGCTTTCATATTTTCTACATTTTTATGTTTAATTTTTGATAAAAGGTGAAGATAGAATTGACTCAAAGACTTTCTAAGCGAATATATTTTGATAAATGTCCTCAGAAAACGAAACGTTCATTTTGATCATGGGGCAGTTATTCTTGAGTAAACTTTGTAATAAAAAGAGCTTACAATATAATTTATTCTTGCAATAATCTAAGTCGAGTGAAAGCAAAGCAAGTAAGCAATTCGCATGATATATGCATATGTATGATTATGTCTTTATCAGTGAAAACACAAAAGTCAAAACTTCGAATAATGGCAACAGTCAACAATAACGCAAACAAAACTGCAGATAGTGTTGTTAAAAAAATTCCCTTTTACAGCCATATCACACTGAAACACCGACGCTCGTTCGATCATTAAAGTTAAGCAACGTCGAGCCTGGTCAGTACCTAGATGGTAGACAGCTTGGGAATACCAGGTGCTGTAAGCTTGGATGTGCGGATAGTGTAAAAGATAATGTCTCGGAATTGCTGATCGTAGAGCCGAGTTCCAATTGCAGTTGGGTTCGTTATATTCGCTTACACGCAAATATGCTTCTTATGCCCCAGCTATGGGCTAATTAGTAACAATTGTATCACTAAATAATTATTATCCCCAGAAAAATCTTACAATCTAGAAATATTTTCCGGCTTTAAATAACCTGCAAAGGGTTGATAAGCCGTAGAAAACGAATCAATCAAAATTGTTCACTGACTGGCCGTTAAGGGCCACATGTCCGGCTACGTGCGGTGCATACTGATTGTAGAAGAAGAAAGAAAGTTAACAAAACAAAAAAGAAGAAAGTGACGAGGGGGGGGGTCAGAAAGTGTAGTGCGGCGTTCGCCGGCAGAGCAGCTGTTTTTCCTTCGTCGTCGGTCGCCTCAAGGAAATGGACTGCGAGACTCTCTTTCTCGGCCGTTACACCGGGCAGTCGTGAAACAGACACCAACTCAACCGCGCCTACTTCGACTTCCTCTTGTCCAACTCTATTGCACGAAGTCCGCCGAATGACCTGAACCTTCCGAGTCCTGCTGCTCGCATCTCGCTTTTTATGCTTGTCTGACACGGCAAAAATTTGCACGTGCGCGAATATCGTCTCGTTTTGGACGAGATCGGCGCGCATAAATTGTGTCTTCGATAGCGGCCATATTTATATTCTGCGTTACTTTGCAGGCAAGACACGTTCGCACTCGTTTTGAAGTTCGAGGTAAGTCATGTCTTTCGTCACAACTAACAGCCGGGAATTATTTGTTTCATAAAGCACGTCACAAAATATTGTTGGCACTAGTAAGTAACATTGACATATTAGAATAATCCAGAGCATGTACTGGCAGCAAACCGCCTGCATGCGGATAAAAAAGGAATTCAGTCAATATAGAAAAATAGAAAAGAGTGTAAGTCAACCAGACTTATTCAACCTATGCAAGAAGGCGATCCTGAGAGAATTATAAGTTCTGACAGGATTCACTATATGCGGCCACAATCTTAACAACATAATATATGAAGATGACACAATGTTGATAGCAGAAACAGAAAAGACATTACAAAAACTCCTACTGAATTTAGTGAAGGAAAATGAGAAGAAAATACAAAACACCATTTTAAAAAAGACGGTATATAGGATTGTTAGCAAAAGGAGGAGCCGAAAATGTGAATTACAAATTGGAAATCAAACATGCTTAACACTTTAAATATCTGTGAAGTGTTCTATCAGAGGACCAAAAGTGTGACACTGAAATACGAAGGTGTATTAGGATAACGAACGTTGTCTTCCAAAATCTAAGCAAAGTATTAAAAAAGAGGAGAATTTTGTTAGAAACAAAGAAAAGAGTACTGAACTGTTAGGTAATAACAGTCCGCCAATATATAAGTGAATGGTGGAAAATCTCCTCACAGATGGAACAGAGACTTGAAGCAACAAAAATGTAGTTCTACAGAAAGCTCAGAATACTATGGGCCGAACGTGTAAGCAGCGACGAAGTTTTAGATGAAATAGAAACAAAAAGGACACTTATACTTAATATCAGAAAGAAACAAGCGAAATTTCTAGGGCACATAATGTTGAAAAGGATCTTGGAAAATTTGATACTCACAGGACAGATTGAAGTCAAGAGGAACAGAGAAAAACAATGCAATACCTACTTAGCCATCTTGCGTAAATGGACGGCAGAAAAGGGTTCAAAAGGCAACATTTATTAAGAGCTACAAAGAACGGGAAATTGTGGCGAGCCATGATCGCCAACGTCTTGAAGTGACACATCACATAGAAGAAGAACGTGAGATTTAATTTTAAACCTTTCTTCTGGATGTATTTGTGTTTTGGTTATAACTGTAGTTTTAAAGCTTATATTCTTTCTTTGAATGCCATCTGTCGTTTGAAATTGGCGAATACTAAATAATTTTATTTTATTTTTTTTGGTTTTATTATTAGTTTCCATCTGACATTCGCGTGATTAGTGACATTACTTAGCTAAACAAGCAAAATGTAAGGCGGGACTTTTTCTCATCACAGGTGTTAAATGGAAGGTAGTTAAAATTTTAAAAGCGCTTGGAATTGTCTCAGTTGGAAAGATATTTCTTTCAGTTAAGAAGCCAATTCGAGTTAAAAGTACATGAAATATTTGTAAAAATTTACAGTATACTTCACAAGCATGTAAAATTTGCAGTAACCATTAATTAAAAAGATCTTCGAGCAGTGTAGCGGTTATCAGCGTGAATAATGGGATGGGTTTGTTGAGTTCAACCATGGTAGTTCAGTTTCACACAAATTGTAAAAGAGAGACTGTTTAGATACACAAAAGATCTGACCGAGCAGCCAGTATTGCCACTGACTGCTTCGCCAATGTATGGCGGGTGAAATTTGTTCGATCTCTTTATTAAGATACTTTTTCGGGAAATTGAACTTCTCAAGTCTACAAAATATTATAGCATTTCCTAATAATGATGGAAGTTTCCTTGCAAACATTTTGCTTATGGTTGTGTAGAAAGTTAACAGTTTGATTATTAGGTAGGGTTCAATAGCAGGTCAGATTGGGTCATCTAGCCTTATCTGGCAACTAGTCTAGGAAACTGAAAACTTCGAATTCAAGAAAAGGTTAGGTGTGGAACAAGAAACCTACTTGCTACGGAAACCACAGCAACAACCCCTAAAATCAGGTTGTGGCCTTAGACTTGGTTGGGTTGAACACAGGGTTAGTATGTATAGTGATGTAGCGGAAAGTAAGGGCACCCAAGATCGAACTCAGTGGTAATTGTTCTAGCGAGACAAGCTTGACAACTATTACACCATATATATATATATATATATATATATATATATATATATATATATATATATATATATATATATATATATATATATATATATATATATATATATATATATATATATATATATATATATTTGAGAATTTTTGATGTTGCCTGTACGGAATTATTTAACTGAAGAAGTTAATCCAAGGAAAATATTTTATTTGGTTTCTTTCAATTTCTTGAGGAAGACCATTTGTTTTTGGTGGGGAATACATACGTAACGATACTTGTGGGATAAAACCGACATGCCGTTTTGAATAAATTGAAACCAAATACCCAACCCAAACAGGTTGAAAATGTCTTTGATGTCAGATTCTCCGTTATCTTTCCTAGTGTAATTAATTACCGAGTGTGCTTAATTTTCGAAACGGAAGTATGGCGCAGTATTATTTGTGCGTGTATTGTGCACAGTGTATATCACACTATATGTAGCCGTGAGTTTGCTTGCATTCTTTGCATAATCTGATGCATTTATTGTGGTATAGCACCCAATTAGATCGAGCGTCCATTCTCAAATAAAAACTATTCATCAGAAAACAGAATTGGACTCTTTTGTTTTCATTGAATAAAGACAAAGAGATACCAGAGATTGTGAGGCAGAATTGAAGAATCTTTTGCCTGTTTATTAATGCCTCGCTTTACACCATCTTCAAGGTTTTTTTTTCTTTATGGTTAAGACCCAAATGTATCTCTATTTGCCACAGTTCATACATACGGTAGTTAGAATCATCAGCTTTCAAATATGTTAAACATAGCTAAATATTTTTCAACTATACGACCAACATTTATTTTCTAGTGTAGTCTATGATAACTTGATGGTAGCCTTCCAGGAAAATTTCTATCTTGCTAACCAGCGAAAGGTTGTAAGGGTTTAAATAAAAGGAACGGAAACTGTGTGCATTTTACGACTTATATTGTGTTTCGGGAAAAAGTCAAGAAAATCTTGTACGAAAGAAACATTTAATACGAACATACGCATTGGGCAAAAACAAATATATTCTTTGGTTTAGTGTTTGTCAAAAATATATAGAAACGATCGAATCTGTTGGGTATTTCGTTTGTTTCCAATTATGATAGAAGTAAAATATTCATACGCATTTATTGAGTTGTAGAGAGAATTGGCTAAGGATAATCATAAAAAACTGAAGTCTCACGAGAGTTGAACAGATCAGAGAATCAAAACGTTATGCGATTTACTAGTATGAGTTTATTTATTTTCTACTCATATTTACAATATAAGTAATAGTTCTACAGTTACATGTATTTATATCTCTTATTCTCTTTACACAGATCTGTGAGAAGGCTGAAATAGTTTTGTGCTTTCTATTAGCTGCAATCTCTGTTATTCAAATTCATCTAAAAAAATAGTTTGAATGTTGACTTTTAAGAAACAGTAATTTTACTAAAGAAAGCGTGTAATCTGATCTTCCGACTTACAAAGCAATCACAACATTCATGTACTAGTATCATACACACGCCTTCTCAGAATGTAGATTATCATAATTCTCCACTGATTCCTTTTCTTCATTATTGGTCAATTACCATGCATTCTTGAGTAATAAATATAATAGTTTCCCGTTGATTTCTTTATGGTTTTAAATTCAGAGGTTTTCTTCTGCTAGACTGGTTGCCACCCAAGGCTACAGAACCCAGTCGATCCTGCTATTTAACTGATAACTGGAGGAATAAGAGACAGTTTCATGTCTTTTCCAAGGGTATTAGTACAAAATGAAAACACATCAGACTAAACCAGAATTTGAAATTTTCGCTTCGATAGCTTTTACACTACCGGCACATAATACACATTATCTATCTATCTATCTATCTATCTATCTATCTATCTATCTATCTATCTATCTATCTATTTTAGACTGAATAGTAATATTGGAGATTTGGGGTTTAACTATTTTTCACTTTTGAGATCACTATGAGATTACACTTCTTTGGGACATTACTATTCATTTTGACAAGCATATAAAAGCTGTTAGACCAGACATATTAGTGGCTCTAAAAATGCCTGCTCGTAGTCATAGCAGTACCATCAGATAAAATAAATCTTTTAAAGAATATGATAATATAAATAAATATAATGATATTGAAATTGAAATTGAAAAATGTGGTACCTCAAAACTGTTGT